GGAAGGACACTCAGGAATTTGGTGTCACTGAAGATGAACATCCACAGGTTTGTCACCCACTGTGCTGWGGGCCTGGCCAGCAGCTCCAGGTTGCCATTCCTGTCGATGACAGCAATCAGGAGAGCCAGGAATGGGGTGATCACCTTCTGCACTCGCTTCCACAGAGTGTGCCTTTGGGGAGAAAGAGATGCACAAACCCAGAGGGAATGTGAGCAACAGCACCAGCAAAACAGGAGGTGACTGTCCTGAAAAACTGCTGACATTTGCACGTGACAGAATCCTAATCCTGCCTTTATGGGCTAAAACACTACCAAAATGCCCCTCCTGCACTTCTCCCATTCCTGGCTCAGCTGGAATCCCACTGTTCCTGTCTGAGTGCAGCCCCTCAGCCCTAATTCCCCCTCCCCCTGGAGAGGCCAAATTTGCCTTCAGAGGGTTTCCAGCACAGACTGGAGAGTGACACTGCAAACATTCAGGTGACACAAAGGCTGGCTCAGGTGACACTCGCAGGCTCCTCCAGGAAGGTGACAAGGCAGGGCTGTGTCCTCACCTGAAGGTACCTGCCTCCTGCAGAGCACTCAGGTTGGAAGCCTCCCGAAGCACCCAATTTTTGGGGTGAAGAGAGTTCTCTTCTTGCTTCTTCAACAGGCTGGAGAGACGAGCCTTGGTTATCTTCAGGAAAGAGGCTACAAAACAACAGAGAAATTGCATTTCCTCTTCTATTAGCTTGGACCCAGACATCCCACCAAGTACAAAATTTGACTGTTTTGTTGTTTCAATAATCAGTCAACTGGGAAAAGAACAGCCAGCACAGCCAGGGAAAAAAAAAAACCAAAAAACAAAAACCACTTGGACTGCAGGAAAAGCCCTCCATCAACAGCCTGGAGCATGGGCACACACACAATTGGGAGATTCTCCTTGTCCACACCACAGCAAGGAGCTGGTGGTGCCCAGATGCCCAGGGACACCCCCCCTGCAGCACGCACCTTTCAGCTCATCCTCTTTGGAAAAAAGGCCAAGGAGAATCTTAATTCTCCTCCTGCTTCGACTCAGGTCTTGGTTCTGGTCCCGCAGCATCCCCACAGCACTCTGCACACAGGTCCTCAGCAGCACAGTGGTGTCCAGGATCTCACCCTGCCCAGGAAAATGAGGTCACTTTGTTCACAGTGACAGCCCTGTCCCTCTGAAAGGGGTGACAGTGCTCCCCAAAAAGGGCCTGCTCCCCAAAATCCCTGATCCCAGCTTTGCTCATCCCTAAAACTCTCAGTTCTTGTGCTGTCGAGCACATGAGGCAACTTTTGTGGCCTTTTCCAACACAACATTTGTACTGAGGTAAGATCCCTGCAGGGGAAAGAATCAGAAGTGAAAATAATCCATGTGACCAGGGAAAAACTGCCCTTCCTGGGGAATGTCCCCACATTCCAGATGAGGCTGTCAGGGGCACACAGAGCAGAGGGAATGTGCCACATSCTCAGGCAGCTCCAGCACACACCTCAGGACACACAGCTCCCAGCTCCAGGGGAAAAAATGAAATAGAAATTCTTAAAGCTGAAAATCAGAAGAATGAAATTACTAAGGAATTACAGGTCCTTAGAATGGTTTATTTCTKTAGTGATGCTGATTTTGACTGGGCAGTGAGGAGGAGGAATTTCTGTCTCATCAATAACATTCAGGATGCAAACACTGCCAATGGGTTTCAAGTGAAGGGGAATACAAAATGCACTTATGGATGACAGAGCAGAGAGCCACACTGAGAGCTGAGAGGCAAACAAATGTATTCTGAACTGACCTCACAGTGCTCTGCTCCTGGCTCTGGTGTGTCAACCTCCATCTCTTCCTCCTGTGCCTCTCCATTCGCAGGCAGAGCTGCAGCTAAGGTGCAGAATTTTTATTAGAAAGCAGCAGTACACTCCTGCAGCAGTCAGATGAGAGTTTATTTTAGCAATTGCGTCCAGAGCAGCAGAACATCTGTCAGAGATCCATTAGCACCTGCAGGAGTAGCTGAGATTCAAACACAGCCACAGCTGCTCGGGCTGTCAGGGGTTCACACAGCAAGAATGGAAGAAATGTGGCATTGAGATAATTCCTTAAGCTCTCCCTGACTCCTGTCAGGCAGTGTGGAGAAAGGAAAACAAGYAGRAKGAAGCTGAGGGGAARGACAGACCCYTRTCAGGGGTCTCTGCTGCCTCCTGTRCTGGGACASAGCACTCAGGCTGCTGAGCAGTGCCAACACCACATTTCWGTCAAAAGACAAAGGCAAAACTACCAAACTAACTTGCTCTATGACCTGAAGTTGTAATAATGAATTAAATACAAATACAAGTTGGGAGCCATGCAGTGACCCCCCCAAAAACCAGGCACTGAGCAGGGAAAGTCATCAGATCCATCGTGCCAGAATCAGCTCCTGCAGTGGCAAATGTGGCAGCACAGCTCCCCTTCTCCCAGCACAGCTCACCTTTGGGCTCAGCTGCATCCTCAGAGAACACCTGGCTGATGGTGAGGTTCTGCAGGGCTGTCAAATCAGAGATCATGTCCTTGGATCTGCGGAGGTCGTCTATGTGCACTGASTGCCACAGCCCTGCAGGCACACAACAGCCAGAAATCACTGCCAGTCTGCAGCTCGTTATTCCTGAAGAGCTTCCCAAAAATTACCTGCCAGCACCTCTGGGTTTACACTCAGAATTCACTCTCAGCTCTTGCTGGAGGAAGGGAAAGCATAATGCACTCAGAACCTGCTGCTGCAAATGTCCCTGCCAGACAAGGACCGAGGTTTTGAGGTTCTCAGAAGCCCCCAGAGCCAGAGGAACCAGAACACATCAGGAGAGCAGCTCTGACAACCCACAGGACACCCTGAGTCCAGATTTTCAGCGTTCAAAGGAACAGTGAGTGAGAGAAATGACTGAGGAGTGAGGAGGGACAGATGGGCACACCCACCTCCATGGAATCCCACGTAGGACGTTCCTCCTTCCACCCTGGAAAGCTTCATGATGAAGTAAACAAAGACAGACGCTTCTCCCAGGTCCAGCTTGTTGATCTCGTTCACAACGGTGTACCTGCAACAAAGAGGAGATGCTGCTGGCACAGCAAAGGCACACAGAGCTTTGTGGCCACACATCCTTCCTCAGAGAGGACACATTTCCTCTCCACTGACTCCCAACCCTTCCTCCCAGCTCTGGTGCTGAGCTGCCACCTCCAGCTGTGCCCTGAATCACCCCAAGACCCTCAGCTCTTCAGGACTTTTGCAGCCAGTGGCCAGAATTCACACTTCAAACGGGATTATGTGCTCATTTGACCCAGCTTCGTTTATTCTGGCTTGGTCTATGGATGATTATTTGAAATAGAATTAGTGMATTTAGATTCATTCTGCTACAGAACAAAGGACTGCACATTCCTGAGTGTGAGAACCCCAAACAGCACCAAAAACCAAACATGGTGAGGAGTGGCCAGGCAGAAGTGAGCCAGTTCACACCCRACTCACTTGGCTGAGGCGATGAGCTGGCCATCCTGAGAGCCATCTTCAAAGTCTGTCTGAATAATGAGGACTTTATTTCCTGAGCTGGAATCCAGGAAATCCCTGAAGAGCAAAAAAGAGATTTTAACAGAAGTCACTAAGTGTAGAGAGCAACCATTAAATACCACAGAACCAATCACAACCATCAAATACCACAGAACCAGTGACACCACATGAGCTTTGGAATCACCAAACACCATCTCTCTCATGTGATGGAGCTGATAATGTTTGTCCCAAATCAGCCCACTGCCAGCACAGCCTCCCTTTTCCATATGTGCTACTCCAAATGCTCTGCCCACACACCTTCCATTCCAAGCAGCAAAACACAGCCCCAGACTCACCGAATGCCCCTCAGGAAGGAGTACTCGGTGTCAAACTGCTGCAGGAACAGGATTTGGAGCCTTTGGRCCTGGCCCTGCACCTCCCTCTCCAGGCAGGCGGCATCAGCACTGGTGAGCAGCCGKGAGAAGGTGGTGACCTGGGGGAAAAGGGACTGACCTGTGCTCCCAGCCTGCTGCAGAGTGGGGTGCACCCCAAAATCAGCGTTCATTTACCCCAGCCTCCCTGCAGAGCTGGATGAACCCCAAAATCAGCATTCATTTACCCCAGCCTGCTGCAGAGCAGGATGCATCCCAAAATCATCATTCATTAACCTGCTGCAGAATGGGATGCACCCCAAAATCAGTGTTCATTTACCCCAGCCTGCTGCAGAGCTGGACTGCACCCCAAAATCATTGTTCATTTACCCCAGCCTGCCGTAGAGCTGGACTGCACCCCAAAATCAGCCTTCATTAACCCAGCCTGCTGCAGAGCTGGACTGCACCCCAAAATCAGCATTCATTAACCTGCTGCAGAACGGGATGCACCCCAAAATCAGTGTTCATTTACCCCAGCCTGCTGCAGCACCCCAAAATCAGTGTTCATTTACCCCAGCCTGTTGCAGCACCCCAAAATCAGCGTTCATTTACCCCAGCCTGCTGCAGAGCTGGACTGCACCCCAAAATCAGTGTTCATTTACCCCAGCCTGCTACAGAGCTGGACTGCACCCCAAAATCATTGTTCATTTACCCCAGCCTGCTGCAGAGCTGGACTGCACCCCAAAATCAGCGTTCATTTACCCCAGCCTGCTGCAGCACCCCAAAATCCGCGTTCAGTGCCCCTGGTGCAGCCTGGCAGAGCCGGTGCCCCTCGGCCGGGCTGTGCCCACGCTCACCTCGGTGAAGGCGCTCCGGGGTGCTGCCCCTTGGCACACGTGGGCACGGAGGAAGTCGGCGAAGGACGTGTGCTGCTGCTGCCTGAAGTAGACGTGTGCCAGCGAGTGCGCGGTGAACGCCCCCGGCGCGTGGCACAGGCGGATGACGGCGTCGGGGGTGGCACAGTTGAGCAGCGCCAGGCGCGCCCACTCGGTGACACGGGCCAGCAGCTCGGCGGGGACACAAGCCGGCCGCAGCAGCTCCGTGCCCTGCAGCACCAGCGAGGCGCAGGTGTTGGCGTGGTAGCCCACGAAGGCGTCGGCCGGCCCGTAGCGCTGCTGGCCCACGAAGTGTTCCTCCGTGCTGACCGCCGCGAAATCGCGCACCCAGCGCTGCAGCTCCCGCACCGCCTCCCTCTGCCCCACGTCCAGCACCGTGCTGATGTCCAGGTAGTGCTTCTCCAGCCGGTTGATCAGCGGGATGGGGAAGTGCTTGTACACCACGTCCTTCTCCTCGATGACGATCAGGCGGAATTTGGGGTGCACCCGGCACTTGACGCGGTGCGTGCCCAGCCCCAGATCCACGTACTTCTGCCCGGCCAGGTACACGTAGTACTGGTTGAGGGCGTCGTAGAGGCTCTCGTAGAGGTTCTGCAAGTTGAGGAGMACGACCATCTGGCCGGTTTCCATGCAGACCTTCACTCGGTTGATGTTCCTGCATATCTGGGTGTATTCTTGGTCCTTAGGAAAACTGGAGCCGAAGATGATTTCTGGCTGTTGGCGGGCRGTGAAAAAAGCCTGCTGGAGGATCTGCAGCGCCGCGTAGTTCTCGGTCAACACRAGCAGGTACCTGCAGTCCCCGTCCTCAGCACTGCTGTAGATGTTCTGTCGGATCAGCTCAATCCTGCTGATGTCGTGAGCATGTATCTCTCCTTTTTCTAGCAGCTTGGAGGTGAATATTTCCAAGGCGTTGACGTCATCTTTGCCACCGAAGTTACGGAGAACCACTTCAGCGATGTCCTGAGGTGTGGGCTCACTTTTGGAGCTCTTAGCCAAGGCAAAAAACATCTTKATGAGGCTGTAGTAGTCACGCAGGCCAAAGAACTCCCTGTCTTGGGCCTTACAAATATTTTCATATGCATCAGCAAAGTGATGGAAATACTGCTCGACCTTCTGYAGAGCCCCTCGTGCCGAGCAGCAAATGCCCTTGGCGCTCTCGATGAGCTCCTCTCTGCTGGGGTCCCCACGGGACACAAAGATGCCTCGGTTCATCTTAGCRGGGTCCAAAGCCCAGTTGGAAATCCCGATGAAGCCAACCTTTTTGTGGGGAAGAGGAACATCATCTATGCAGCCATCCTCCAAGAGCGGATGCAAAGTCTTCAAGGGCATTTTGGGAGAGTCTTCTGCCAGCCCAATCTCATCCAAAACCACCACTGACACATACTCCTCCAAGTTCTTCCCCTCCTGGAATCGAGCACAGTGCTTGAAAGTGCCTATGATTCCCTCTGGAGTGGAGAGGGGGCTGCACTGAAAAGACACGAGATGGATCTGCTTCAGGTCCTTGAATAGATCAGAATGAGCTGCTTGGCCTTGCATAGCATCAGCCACGATGGTTTTTGCAAGGGATTTGGAGCTCCCAGGCTTCCCGACGAGAAARAGAGGGATTTTCAGCTCAATACAGATGACCATCATAAAGACATTTTCCTTCAAGGCCAAGTTCCTTGCTATGGTATCCCGGAGTGGCACCCCGCTCAGGAATAAGTCCTGCATCAGGGAGATTTCTTCCAAAATCTTTTTCTGGCTATCATAAGGCTTTGGAAGGACCTGGCTGATGGCATTCCTGTACGGCTCCTTCCTTTCCAGGGACGCGTGGTAGCAGACCCCGACCGCCAGCACCAAGGACCAGATAACGCCGTTTCTGTCGCCGCTGCCCTTGGGAGCTTTYCTCTCGGCCAGGTACCTCTCCAGCTCCCTCAGCAGCAGCTGGCTGTGTTTGTAGAACCACTTGAACACCTCCATGCAGCGCTCCACGTCCCGCAGGCTGACGAAGCTGCACTCGTCGTCCCTCCGCCTCATGTACTGCTGGGAGGCAAAGAGCACCTCCGTGACCGTCCCCACCTCGTCCCTGGCCATGGGCAGCTGCTCGGCCACGCGCTGCACGATCTGCTGGATGTACATCTTCTCGGTGCGGTTGTTGAGCTGGCCGAAATCCCACACCAGCGGGATCATGCTGGGCGGGAGCGCGTGCACGCGGTACACGAGCTGTCTCAGCGGGATGGATCCCAGCTTCTCCCTGCTGTCGTCGGCTTTGACCCGGTAGCCCAGCCCGGCCAGCTCCAGGCGCTGGATCATCCTGTCCGTGTGTTTGCGGTAGGGGTTGCAGGCTGCGATGATCTGCAGGCCAGAGGCAGCAGCCAAAGGCTCTCCCTGCACCGTGCGGTCACACAGAACCTCCTTGATGCTGCTCACCGCCTCCGTCGTGTTGGCTTCGTCGAAAAAGAGGACCGTGTCCAAGTTGTGCTGCTCCTTGTTGGATTTAGCCAGGGCTTCTGCTTCCCTGATCCTGGCATAGATCATCTCTGCCGTGGTACCTCCGTGCACCTTGACCAGCTTCATGTTCTCCACCTCCACAAAGCTCCTGCGCAGCTGGCACAGGAACCTCACCAGGCGGGTTTTCCCRCAGCCCGTTTCTCCCATGATGACCACCGGGATGTTGCAGCGGAAGCGCATCTCGATGGCCAGGATTTTCAGCACRTTGTCCAAGGTGAGCTCGTACGTCTCGTCGGGGTCAAACACCCAGGGCAGCCCCAGCACCATGCAGAGCCTCTCGAGCTTCTCCTGGCGGGGCAGCTGATCGAAGGGCACGTTGAAGGGAACCCTCTGCAGGATCAAGCCTTGGTAGAGCTGGGCACTCATGATGTYCTGCTTGATGACGCTGCCATTCACAGGATTGATGGCATCGATGCGATTCCTGTTCTGCTGGAAATGGAAACCAATGAATGTCATGGAGACACGATCCTCGTTGAAAAACAGATAGGGGTGTGGCTCCGACTCCCACTTCTTCCGGATGCGGAAAGGAAGCAGATCCTCCTCCGCGACGTTGTCCAGGTGGCAGGATCGTCTTCCCGAACTTTGGTCAGAAATGTTCAGGGAGGGCGTCGCGAAATCCCGCGCCATTAAAATCATGAAGCCAACCACAAAGTTCTTGAAGCCGCGCAAGGTGTCCTGGACAAAGGCAGGGTTGCAGAAGACAGAAGCTTCGCAGTCTCTCAGCTGGACGTTGAGGAACCAGGTGAAGTTGCGGAGYTCTGCCCAGGAGGGATCCACAACACCACAGTGCAGGAGGAAAAGCTGCAGACATTCYGCAGGGCTGCCCTCCACCGAGAGAGCCTCGTACTGGAACGTGTCCAGGTCACAGCCCCGCTCAAACCTCTTCAGGTACTGGAAAGGCCTCTGGAAAGCCTCGCTGCAGAATTCCTCCTTGTCCATTCCTGGGTCCGAAACATCCCCAGAATGGTTCCCGAGTGTCTCCATTTCCAGCACTTCTTTCGGAGACTTGCATGTTATTTTAGGGAACACATCCAAGAAGTGATACTTCTGGCTTGCTGATGTCTGGAGAAGGGAAAAAGAAAAGAAAATGTCATCACAGAGCTGTAGCCTCAATCTTCATCAGTTTGGTTAATCTGYTCCTAACAGTCTTCTTGCCTAAAACCACAGAGCAACAGGAACCAGCCTTTTCTTTGTGCATCCTTTCTTCCACTTAAAGTGCACCAATGAATCCTATTCCCTCCTACATTTTCCCGTTTGGAACATGAGCCTGGCATCACCTCCAGCCCCTTCTAAGGGCTACTTCAAACAAAACTAAACCCAAGAAACTGTTGTGATTTATTCCAGTCACTTCTACACTGTTCTTACAGCTGCAAATAAATACTCCCCTGCTCTCAAACATGCAAATTAGCATGAGGGAGATCAGATTTTGCATTTTTATGTTTCCTATAAATTACAGTGGGCACAGTGAGGCTTGGACTAACAGTCTGTCAGAAATCACCAGCTCAGGGGAACCAGAAAAGCCTAATTTGCTGTCTGGTTTTAATGTCACTTTGTGCAACACCAGGGACACYGGTTTGCTATGGGATACAGCACAACCCGAACCAAACAGGGAATTCCTGTGCTGTGTCTATAGTTAGAGTCTCTACAACTCACCACAGCTATGTAMAAACACATGCAAAGTGACTGAGAAATTCCCAGAAAAGCAGCATTGATGGGTACGTACAGGTCTGGCTGCTTTCCTTGGCACTGGGGACACCTCCAGGATTTCAATGATGTACAGATGGCACTTCTGCCGTAGCCACATATTGCCATTATTGTCTGTCAGGTACTGCAAAACCAACAGCTTGAAGAGAAACTCTGCAACTCCACGCTGCACCTATCACAGGAAGAGATACAAAGGCATTTCCTCTTTATTTACCCATCACAACTTCACAGAATCACAGCACAGCTGAGGGTGGGAGRGCTCTCTGCTCAAAGCAATCCCAGCAAGAACAGGTTGCCCAGGGTCATGTTCAGTCAGGTTTTAATTTCTCCAAAGTTGGAGACTCTACAGCTTCCCCAGGCAACTGTTTCATGTTCCACCACCTCGATGGTATTTGTGTAACTTACACAACAATTAGAAAACACACACGAGAGAAATGGCTAATGGAGAAACAAGAGTTTTAAAGAAAGTTCCTGCCAAGGTGCACACAGGACTTGTGGGACAAGGAAGCTGTGGGAGGGATGCACTTACTGAGGAGGTGATATCGAAATGGAATATCATGGGYTTTGTCTGGTGTTCTCTCTTTAGGTAAGGCAGGAGAGCTTTTAGCACTTTGTCTTCATCCACTTCTGGTTCAATTAGTCTGATGGTTTTCAGAAGGTCTGTACAGTCAGGCTGCTCTTCTTGCAGTCTCTCATGCAGCCTCTTCACATACAGAGATTTCCCTGTTATAAAAAACAGCACAAGAATAAAGCCATCAGTATCAAATACATATCAAGACCATAACAGAAAGAAGCAAATAAAATGCTGAAGTACCCTATGCCCTAAAATATCTGAACCTTCCTAAAAGGCATTCCAGAAGAAAGTCTAAATGTGGTTTGAGCAGCTGGAGTCTGGAATCCAAGACTCTCTGTTGTTATTCACAAGGTTTGTTTTCCTTCCACTGCCTGAGAGAAGCTTCAATCTTCACTAGGCCCTGAATCTATTCTATTTTGTGCTTGTTTCTAAAGTCAAACCAGGGTACAAGGTGACTTCCAGCCTTCACCTCACTGCACTGACCAGTCTGAATAGATCTTTTAAACCAAAATACTTAAAGCTTGGCCACCAAACCTGACAAGGTAAGCCCCACTCTGGTTTTGAACTCCCATGTGCCATCTTACCCACKCCAGCCCTTTTGGAGGACACAATCCCAACACACATGTGCTCCTTGAACACGGACGCAGCCGAGTTGACAGGATGAGCCACTCGGAAGTGCTGCTGCAGGTACTGCTGGATCTCTGCTCGTGCCCTCTGGGGAATCATGTGCACTTTGTAGTGGCTGAAGGCAGAGGGGATGTAGCTGTTGTCCCGCTCGCAGTTGCACAGGATGATGAGGCGGTAGGAGCTGTTGTAGCGCTGCAGCTGCTGGAACAGCTCCTCTGCCCTGCAGCTGACGTCGTAGCTCAGCTCATCCGCGTAGAGCATGGTGTAAATCTTGTCCCCTGCGTGGCAGGGRATGAGGCACCGGCGCAGGAACAGCCCCACCTGCTCGGCGCTGGTCTGGGGGGTGCACAGCAGAACCTCGTCGAAGGTGGGCAGGGGCTGCTCGGGGCTGTTCATGTAAATGGCCAGGGCAGCGCTCAGCACCTCGCAGGGAGGGCAGCTGATGAGGTTGGGCTGGCCCACGCACAGCAGGTCCTGAGGGAAATCTCTGCTGACACGTTCCCTGCCTGCAGCAGCCAGGTTCTTGAGCCACACGCCCAGCGTGTCGATGTCCAGGCAGCGGGGCAGGAAGGAGCCCATGTTGCTCATGTAGCACTCCCAGATGCGCTCCAGCCGGGCACTCAGCTCCTTCTCCCCATCCAGCAGCACTTGGAAATCAGAACCAACCTTTGCAGAGCTGGCAGGCTCCTGGCTCTGCAGAACTGCCAGGAGCTCGTGCTCGCTGCAGCCACGGCTGAGGAAGGACAGCATCATGAGCGCTGCCTGGCTGGGCTGGCCCTGCCCCAGCTCCGAGCACAGGTACACCAGCTGCTCCGCGCTGTAGTAGTTGAGGTAGAAATGCTCGAAGCGCTTGGYGTACATGAAGCTTTTCCAGCTCTCCAGGAAACTCTCCATGGTCTTGCAGAGGGCTGGGAGCACAGCTGCCATATCCCCTTGTCCTTCCAGCACCGGGATGGCACCCAGGGAGAAGTCGATAAGAACACAGGATTCTCTTTCGGGTGAGCAATACACCTGGGCAAGCCAGGAGCGGAAAAGCATGTTCCCAGCTGAGTAAAGGTCTATAAAGGCCTGGGCAAGTCTCTGGACATTGGAAAAGACCTGTGTGAGGACAGAGGGGAGAGAAACAAACTAAGCTGGTTTCCAAGTTCCAGCCGTGAAACCACTGGAAAGACTTTCAGTGAGGAGAAAGTCTTTGGTTCCAAAGTGTGTCACAGGCACAGACTGCCTGTGACATTTTAACAGCAGCATCCCAATAAACCAAGCTTGCTATGGAAGAACAGTGAGGCTGCCAGGACAATCCCCAGTGCATGATAAGGATAAGGCCACCTGCCCATTGCTCTGTGTCCAGCTCAGCTGCACCTTCACAAGGAACCCAAGGCAGGAACACCCATGTGCCTGTGACCACCACCCCCAGCCAACCACAGCTGATACTCAAGGGAAAATCCAGCCCTGGCCCCAACACCAGCAACCCACTGGGCTTGGAATCTGACCTCAGAGAACCTCTCCACCTCCAGGCCTTGCTCYCCCTTGGCTGACATGAGCATCAGTTTGTTCTGCAGCTCGCGGAGCTCCGCCAGCGAGTACTTCCAGGAGGCATCGGCATCCCCCGAGCTCCCCGGCAGGGTGAAGCGCAGGACAGTGTCCAGGGAGACCTGCAGAGCACAGGGGTCAGTGTGGCTGGGCTGGGGCTGTGCCCGAGGCCAGGGCAGCACGGGCAGCAGTGCCCAGGAAGGAGGAGCTGACAGAGCTCACCTTCTGTCCATCAGCTGGGGCTCTGAGCACATAGACCCCTCTGCTGTTGATGGCAGCTGCCAGGGACAGCGAGGACAGCTCCACGGAGCCATGGCTCTCCTTCACTGTCTTCAGCCACTCCAGGTGCTGAGCTGAGGCACGCTGTGGGGAGGGGAGACACAGCCCTGCCCTGAGCGCCCCGAACTCCGGGGTTACGTCTGACCAGAACAAACACCTTGGGCAGGCACAAGGGCTTCAGGGGAGGGAGGAAGGAAGGAATAAGCACTGGCTGCAGCCTGGTCTTTCTGCACACTCTCCCTTACCCACTCCATGGGAGGCTGAACGGAGCCCACAGTGCTCCAACACCTCTTGCTACAAAAACACGCCCTGCTGCAAAAGGGTAAGAGCTCCCAGCCATCTGCCTTCCCCCTTCCATACCACCAAACCCTTGCATGAGCACCACATCACACTGGAAAGCCTCAGCAGCGCTCTGGAGAAGCCCTTGCTACACCAGTTACAGTTGCTGCAGTGAATTTTTGTGCCACAGAAACATCAGGTATTTTTCCTTCCATTACATCTCCTGTAAATCCCCATGCAGGTGCCATTTGCCCAGTGCAGCCCAACTTCCAGCCACGCCTGGAAGGCAGAAATGCAGGAGGATAGAGAGGCCCTGCTCCAGCAGAACTCACCAGTTTCTTGGGGAGGTTCTCATCGCTGTCCAGGGCTCGCCACAGCTTCTGCAAGCAGCACATGAAGTCCTCGAAGCCCGAGTCCGGGCGGAGCTCATAGAGCAGGGAGGAGTAGCCGTGCACRGTGTCATGGAAACAGGCCACCCTGTCCACATCCATGTCATTCTCCCCCGCCGAGATGGACGCCAGGTCAACAAACACCTTCAGCTCATTGATATCTGAAACGAGCAAAACACAGGAGAGAAGAACAATGAGGAGCTTGGACACCACCCCTCAGCACC